TAAAATAATATCGCAACATAGATAAACTCTAAAAGAAAGAACTCAGTTATTTTTGAAAGTTTCAATTCAGATAAACTCTCATCAGAAAGGAAGTGATTATTTTTCCAATGGAAAATGACACATTTGACTGAGTTTTTTTCTTTAATTCTTCTCCAAGCGTCAGCAAAAGCAATGACTAAACAGAAAATCTTTCCATTTCAAAAATAGCCTTACTACTGCAAATAGCTGTTAAACTACAGTAACCAATGGTGCTGCACCATAACTGTGGAATTTCAGAGGGAAATTATCTACATGTATTTTAACAACAAAACATCACAAAATGCTGCCTGCTGCTGTCACCATGCAAAAGAAACTGAAATATAAATAATTATATTTTTATTTACTGAAAGTAAAACTCATTTTCTCTAGTACTTAGGAAAGGAGCTTTTGTTGCTAAGTTATATCAATCGTTTTTGTTAAATGTGAAAATTAAAATGTTTCAATATAAAACAATGCACACTGAAACAGGTTTCTCTTGCTATGTGTAACTTCTACCCTCATAAGACATTGGTCTTGTATATTTTCTGATGTGTATATGCAGGACTTTTGTCAGACAAGGACTCAGAAAGAGGATACTGGTATCAAAAGTTTGCTTGTTGCTTTGGGAGTCTGTGTGTGATTTTGGTGATGATGATCATTGGAGTCAGTGTTTATTGTAAGTATGGGAAATATAAAGGTCATGAATGAGGTGACAATTAAAGCTGGGATAATGTACTGACCCAAAAAACTGAACTGATGTAGGTACACGTCCAATGTGTTCTTAGCTTAAAATTACAGACATAAAAAATACCTGATATATAGTTAAATCTACATTACTACTATGAAATCCATAACATGTTGGTGCTTTTTGTAGTTGTATTTCAGCACAGGAGTGATGAACAGCAGCTGATACAGTTGAGAACAAACCAAACGTTTCTGCTGGAGGAAAATATCAACCTGACAAGAGACAACAACAAACTCAGCTCAGATTTCACCATCCAGGTTTACAACCTGACACAACAAAAACAAAACCTAACAGAAGAACTTAGTCAAGTTAAAAAGACAAACCAGGAGCTGCAGACGGATAAGGAAACTCTCACAAGACAAATAGAAACCATGAAGAAAACTTGGAATGAGCAGAAACTCAGGATTAGAAATGAATACTGTCACAGAAGAAACAATGGTATGTTCAGATCTCCTTGTAGTAAATGATTATTCTTAATATTTGTCAGTCCAAATGTTTATTAGTTCATCTCTTTTTCAGAGAGGAGCAGTTCTTGTCAGAACGGCTGGACTCCCTGTCAGTCCAGCTGCTATGCAGTTAACAATGTTAGACCTCCAAATGGTAAAACCTGGACAGAAGCACAAGAAGATTGCAAACAAAAATCTTCACATCTGGCTGTTGTTGGTAGTGAAGAAAAAAAGGTAAAGACAGAGCTGGAAACTGTTTAAGTGAATTATACATATATTTTCTGTTGGTCCTGTAAGTGAAGTAAATATGTGATAATTTTATCTCATTCCATGCAGTTGTTTCTTGATGACACCAGTTGGAACGCAGATGGAATTACAGGATACTGGATTGGACTCAGAGCTGAAGGACGGAGATGGAAATGGATCAATGGAAGTGATCTGACCCATCAGTGAGAGACACATTGTTTCTTAAATTTATATTAAATAAATCTATCAGCCTTGATCTAACTGATGTTTTTCCTTAGAGCCTGGATGCAGCAGCCTGCAACTGATGGTCAATGTGTAACTTCTCTCCAGAACCGAGAATGGAAATCAGTGAGGTGTACTGAGAAGAATGCATGGATCTGTGAGAAGAAGGCTTTATCTGTTTAAAATGAAATATTCAACTTCAAAAGGTTATTTAGAAAAATTAAAACAAAATATCTATTCTATAGTTCTATTGTTACATTTTTTCCACAAGTTCTAAGCAGTTACAGTTTATTATTGAATAAATTCAACATAGCAATGTTATTTCAATTACTGTACTTGTTATAATTTAAGCTGTAAAATTGCTTAGTGAGTGCATTCCACCTTTATTGAACCCAACGTAATTTTACTATGAAGAAGTAAACAGAATCTAGAAAAAGTACATTTCTTTCAGTGACATAAAATAATTATTCATTTCACACATTTGAAATGGTTTTCTACAGTTTGTTTCAGGGTCAAAATAAATAAACAGAGACTGAGGACTGGTGTTTCTGTTCTCTTTAGCTTTTCTTTTTTTACAGTTGACGATTTTCATCCAGCAGGGGGTGCTGCATCACTCCCAAAAATGACTGCTTCAATGAAATAGAAATATTTTTCAATGTGGTGATGTGTCATATTACAAGTTTCAATGCACGTGCTTCTTTTAACTTTGTTGTTGTGAATAAAAATAATGTATGTAATGCTAGTGACAGTTGACTCTGCTTCATGTTTTCTTGTAACCTGCTCACTAAAGCTCCACCGGGCCTGACATTGTTCCTGCACTACACAGAGGATCATCATTATTACTTTCACTTTAAAGTCAACAGATTAGAAACATCAGCATGTTCTCTTCAGTCAATAGCTTTCTTTCTGCTGTAGGACTAATTATTGTCTGCTTATATAAATATACTGTATGTTTAATGTGACGACTCCTCCACTTTACATGAGGGGATTCGTCCCTTTAGATTATTTGTTCTTTATTTTCAAGGCATATCGAAAGTAGTGACATTCAGGATCGGCTTGGGCCCCCTGTTTCCTGGCTATATAAGAGCCTTGCTCCTATTTGTCAGTGGGGTCTGGTGGAGTTGAGTTGGAGCTTGCTTGGGGCTGAGAAGACTTCTCCATCAGGCTCTGCTTTTCAGACTGGCTCTTACCTGACTTGTCTGCCCACCTTGACTTTGCTTGACTTTATTTTACTTTTCTTTTCTTTTACAGGATTTCCATTCAGACCATCTGCTTTTGGCCGATGCCAACGGCCACAGGGGCTGCCTACTTATTTGTCTTAGTTTTGTTTTATGCTTGGTGCTCAATAAAGAGCATAATTATTGTTGAAGTTTGTGTCTCCCTATTTTTTGTAACGACTCAACGCGCCGAGTTGTAACATTAGTTTCTACTGTAACTCCAAACTTTGTGGTTCTAATTAGGAGTATTTAAAGTGAATCTAGCTCTGGTTTCATTGTTTCTTACTGGTTTCTCCCATTATCAATCAATCAATCAAATTTTATTTGTATATCACATTTCAGCAGCAAGGCATTTCAAAGTGCTTTACATAATTAAAATAAAAACAGCATGTGACATTGAATAAACAGTGAGAAAGAGAAATAAAAAGAAATTAAAGTAAAGATAAAGAGATTTAAAAAATAAATAAATAAACAAAAAATAAAAACATTATCCACATGAGGACTTGCCCTTTTGGGGTCTCCTCAAAAATAAGAGGCTCTACAAGCCTTTCCTTCTGTAGGACTTTAGTCAAACTGCCATTTGACAAGGACTCAAACCTTTAAAACTTCTTTACATAAAGAGATAAAAACAAAGATAAAAAGTAAAGATAAAAACATTAAAAACATCAAAAACATGTAAGACATCAAAACCCACACTCTAATCAATTCTAAGCAACTCTGAACAGGTTGAGATTTAAAGGCACCCAATTTCCCTTACCACTTGCTGCCTATGTTGCATATCTTGTTTACCCTGTTACTACCCCTGTAAATGTTCTTTTTGTTTATTATCAACCCTTAGATTATGTTCATTTCTGAGGCACAGCAATGTTGTTTAAACATTTACTAAATGAACTGAGAAGAGTCTTGTCTGCATGAAACAAATGAGAACCTGAATGTTTCTTTATCTCCAGGTAAGATTTAGTATCAGAAAGGTTTTCTATCCAGTTAATATTGTTATTTTATTGTGTTTAAACTTAAGCATACAATTTATTTTCAACATGACATTGAGAGAGAAAAATGCATAATCATGTTTTTGTTTGTGATGAACTTCTAAGGACATTTTTGTTGGATTACAACATATATTTGTAGACATTTAATTTGACAAAATGACAACGACTATTTACTTACTTAAAAAAGAGAAAAAAACAGAAAATATTATAGCAATTAAAACCAGAATAATGGGAAATAAAAATGACTCTTAGTTTCTTCTCTTGAAGACACACTTCAGTTTGTGAAAACATTAAGTTTTTGGTCCTTATGTCTTTCAGAGGAAATTGAAGAAGCAGTGGATGCAGAAGAGAACTTGAGAGCTGATCCAGGTAAAATATGAAGATTATTTAACTAAATTACAACATTTTGAGAATTTGACTTCTTTAACTTCTGACTATGTCAAAAGTAGCATTTTAATTTTTGAAAAAAAGACTAGATTAAGTGAAATGATTTTTTATAAATATTTGAAAATATAAAAACATTATCATAATTCGAAAGTGATTACTTGTGATAAAGTTATTTACATTTCTTTCTTTCTTTATCACGTCACCTTACCACTGGGAAAACCAGTGGGAAACAGCTTTTCCCACTGCCAGCAGTTTATTGGACGATTCTGTTAGTTATCACACTGCAGTTCCACTGAGTCTCTTTACAAATGTCACATCACATATTTAGACTTGTTTTCCTTATTTTACCACTTTATAAAACATAACAAGTTGATGTTTTCCAGTTTTATTTCTTCAGAAAAGCGATGAAAGTGAACTGAACCAGTTGAGTGCAAATCCAACAATCCTCCTGGAGGAAGGGGACTGCCTGACAAACTTCAACAAAAACCTCAGCTCAGATTTCAACATGCGGATTCTAAATCTGACAAGAAAAAGAAACCTTGAAGACAGAACTTAGTCAGGATGAAAAGAAAAAGCAGAAATGGAAATGGATTGATGGAAGTGATCTGACCAATCAGTGAGAGACATTATTTATTAAACTTTGTGTAAAACAAATGAATCAGCCTTGATCTAACTGATGTTTTTTCTTAGACCATGGATAATGCCTGAAACTGATGGTCAATGTGCAACTACTGTCCAGGAACAAGAATGGAGATCAGTGAGCTGTAATGAAAGGATGGGTCTGTGAAAAGAAGGATTTGCCTATATAATTTTGAAAGATTTTGATTTTGATTTATTGTCCAGTCCTATTTTAACCCTGTTTGAAAAAAGGCTGAGTTTATACAAAGTGTGCTAAAAGTGAAAAGTTGTGAAATGCCTCTGGTTCTATTATAGGTTAAAGAACTGTTTTGAAAAGCTTATGGAAAAATTAGTGAATTGCAAAAACATATGTTCAACAAATCCAAATGGTGAGATGCAGCTTCCTGGTCGACACACCTAATTATGTTAAAAGCAGAAATCATCAACTTCAGAAGAGTTTTAAGTTTCCTCAGAGTCCATTAAGAACCCATATCATGAGTTGGATATTATCTAGTATCTCACTCTTTTAAGTTCAACTTGTCTGTTCTTTTGTGTGGTGTCAACAGAAAATGACTTATTTAGAGAAGTTCCTGCTGAGGAGCAGAAACTTCTCAGTTTCAGAGGAGCAAGAAACTGCTGAGAAGTTTCTGAGGAGCAGATCAATACGGTTTTCTCATTGATCTGCTCAATAAGAAGATGTTAAGATTTTGAACCCATCATAAAAGCAGACATAGTAGATTTAAAGGTAGAAAGACAGCACTCTGTTCTCATTAACAGTTCCGCTTCAACCTTTGTCTGATGTTGAAGCTTTTACAAAATGGAGAAAAAAACACAAAGTCTGCTAAACACAAATGTTTCTTTATTTGCTGGATTGATGTACTATCAGAGGGTTTTTTGGTCCAGTTAAAGTATATTGTGAATATATGTTTATCTTACTTGACACTTGTTCATTTGTAGTGTTTAAACTAGATATACATAAAGTTCAACATGAGAGTGAAGTAATAGAATTAGTGAATGCTAAACCAAGTTTGTTTTGTGATGAATGTATGAGAACATTTCTGTTGTATTAATGAAATGAAAGAATTATTCTCTTTAATATAGGAAATTCTCTTTATGGTATGAATGTTTTCTAGATGAGTGCAAATGATGCAATAAGTCAAATGCAAATGACTTAAAAAAAGCAGAAGTTCAAAATTGTGGGAGCTCTGAGTGACAGGAAATGTTTACTTGTGCTAAATACTGCTCTTTTGCACATTATTTGCTAACAAAAAACTTTAACAGAAAGACTGAAGAGATGGCAGACAACGAAGTCCAGTATGCTTCTGTTGTTTTCAAAAACAAGAGATCGGCAAGAGGTGCGTTTTGTGTTTATGTTTTTTAATAATCCTCTGACTAACATGTTGCCGTTTATGGTTATGATATCTGTTGTGAGTGTAGTTGATTAATGTTGCTGACTGAGAAATTATCAAGTAAATATATTTGGCTAAGATGTTCCTCCGGGAACTTTGTAGATAAAACTACTTAATAAATTGTAATTGTTTCTAACACTTAATTAAGAATCTATTTAATGTTTTAACAAAATGTGTTAAAAATAAGTTTAACTGAAAAGGAAATCTTAGACGCTGATTATGGTTGAAAAAGTGTAATTAAACGTTAGCTTTTAGTGTTGGTTTATCCATTAGGAAAACACTTTTTTATAAAATGGTAACTGGATTATTTCCTTCTTTTTTTACATAAAGTAATATATGCTGCAAAAGAATGAAAAAATATCCTCATCTAACAAAAAAGTTGCAGTTATTGTAACTGCAACTTCATGTTAAAATAACTGCAACATGAAGAACAGAAAATAAATAAGAGAAACATGTGAATCAAAACTGGACATGAAAATATTAACTCCACACTGCAGCACAAGATCGTTGGTGTTTAGACATAACGAGACCCAGAGACTCGTTCCTCATAAAGTGGGAAAGATAAATAAACTTGACATTCATGTGTTAATCCTCAAAAGTAATGAAATATTAAAAGCATAACTTTCTTCCTAAGCTTATCTATATTTACAACTTTTGTGAAATAGTGTAAAGTAAGAGAAACTGTGGCAAACAAAACTGAGTGACGACTGAATCAAAGTGAGGCATCTTGGGTGTCGACACAGAAACCATTAGCAACTGTCTGCATGTCAACATTGCTTGGAAGGCATGTTTTCTGTTGTATCACATCAAATGTAAATGGATGAACATTGTTAAACACTGTCAGGGCTTTAACTAGAACTGCTTTAGTTGCCTTTTTCATCTCTGAAGAAACAAGCTGACAACAGAAAGCTCAGCAAAATTAAGTATTTGGGATATCAAGATATTTTAAATGTTCTTTATCACATCTTTCACCTAAAAAAATTATAAAAATCAAGCGATTTAACCAACACAGGATGGTTCACCACGCCTGACACCAGCTTTCCTCCATGATCATCTCAATTTTCAGGCCGAAATCCAACAGAAAACCTGAGAGGTGAGCTAAAGAGAGGAGAGCAAAGGAGAGCAGCCAAGACCCCCCTGGGTGTCAAACATATCCAAACAGGTGACCAAAACCTCAAACATGGTTTTGGTCATTCACCAAACAGAAACAGGGCTGATGTTCATTTAAAAGAAATACATCAGCCATGTAAGGTATTTTTCGGACTATAAGCCGCTACTTTTTTCCTACACATTGAACCATGCGGCTTATAGCCCGGTGTGGCATTTCTGTGTATTTTCTTCAACCGCCAGGGGGCTCTTTAGGAGGAAGTGAATAATTGGAAGTCAAAATTGGAAATCAAAGAAATGCTAATTTTAATTTAGAACAAGCACATGCTAGCAGCAGGCATGATGGATAAATTTATTCAAACTCATATGATGCAGTTTTTAAGTTGAGGATTATCAATCTGGCAGTACAGGAGGGAAAGAGCCGCTGCACGTAAGTTTGGCGTGAACGAAACCATGGTTCGGCTTTGGAGATGGAGGGCTGTGTCCTAATAAATCCTCTGCTGGGTCCCTATGGAAAACCAAGAGTGGCTTATAGCCTGGTGCAGCTTACATATGTACGTTTCCAGTTTATTTATTTATTTTTAAATGTGTAGCTGCGGCTTATAGTATGGTGCACTCTATAGTCTGGGAAATACGGTATTCAATTCGGTTATAGAACAGATTTTTTTTTTTTTTGCTTTTCAAACACAGTGGCCTGTCCAGTAAACTCATTGCATAGGAGAAAATGTGAACGTGGTAACTGTGAAATTTGCTTAATTTTATCAATTCCTGGCAACACAGAAAGCTCAAGATCTCCCAAAACCGCAGTGCGCACCCATTTCTACAGCTGTGGGTAGCTGTTGCAGCAGTCTGTGGGGTTTGTGATGTGACGGGTGTGAATGCTTCACTTACTGAGCGGAACAAACCATACAGATAAATGAAACCTGGATGTAACTGTATCAGTGTAGCTGTAAACTGGACATGTCTGATCTGAGGCTGTGCAAAGAGGAAAGGTCAAAGACTTCTCACTCTGTGTGCTGCACGTGATAAAGTGCAGCATCAGATTGTTTTTCTCTTTATTTACTGAGACAATTTTCCTTTTTTATGAAAGATCAGCTCCCTGTCAGTTTGCTGATATTTTAACTTGCCTCCCAGGCTAGAGATATGCTTTCAGGTTCAAACAAAATATTATACAATTCATTTAATTTAGAAAATTAATTATGTTACAAACATTTGAACCTTTTCAGCTAAAAAAGAAGAAGAGGTTGTGTATGATGATGTGAAGCCAAGACAAGCAGCTCAGGAAACGACTGTCACAAAGGGTAAGTAAATGATAAAATAAGTAAATGCAACAATAAAATCTTGTGTGCATCAACTCAACTACAACACACACAGTTATCGCTAACATTCCTTAAATGTTGCAAATTTCAGTTCAGATGAACTCTCATCAGAAAGGAAGTGATTATTGTTGCCCTGGAAACTGGCATACTTGACTAACCCTTTTTGTATTATTTCCCAAACAACAGCAAACCAAGATGACATTACGCAACATTTAGAAGCTCATCTGAGCTAACCTATAACAACTCAGAGTGAACACATGAACAGATGAAATATGGAAGAAGTTCAACTGCCAGATCTGAAATCCAATTTACAAGGGTTATTTACCAAGCTGTTAGGCCTGATCTAAACATTACTTAATCTATTAAATGCATTGCATCTGACTGTCAAAACCACAGTGTGTATCCACCCATTTCTAGAGCTGTGAGTAGGTGTTGCAATGCTCTGGGGTTTGTGATGTGATGGGTGTGAATACTTTATTATCAGCCAAAACATTATTTATTTATTTATTTTATTTTAAACATAACAATCAGCTCTATGTCAGTTTGCTGGTATTTTAACTTTCCTCAGTCTGAAGTTATACTGGTGGAAGAAAAGACACTGACAGATGCTTTCGTTTCCAAGCAAATATGATCATTAAACAATAAATTTAAATGCTTTCCAGAATGTATTGTGAAACAAATACAGACATTTGATCTGTAATTTTTTTTAGCTAAAAAAGAGGAAGAATTATTGTACAATAAAATGAAGAAACCAAACAAATCGTGTCTACAAACATCTGACACATATGGAAGCCCATTTCCGCCATGAAAAAAAAGACCAACAAGAAATTTCAATGTCATAATTTCGACTTTCAGTGACTTTGAAAGTCGAAATTATGACTTTAAATCTCATAATTATGACTTTTAAAGTTGATATGACTTTAAATCTCATAATTATGACTTTGAAATTATGACTTCCAGTTTATCTTTTATTTTTTTCATGGAGGAAATGGGCTTCCATAGTTTCTGCATTCAGATATCTAGGATCGTTCTGTAAACAGTGTTGCCACATTTAGTAAGTCAGTCTGCAGTTATCAGGAGTACTCTAAGCATAGGATTCTTTTGGTCACAAGTTTTAACAGACTTGTTATAATCCTCAATAAAAAGTCTTCATACAAGTTGGGATTTTGCTGAGTGATTGCTCTCCACTTATGTAGCTCACTGCATGATACTTACTGATTGCTGCAACATAACGTGACTCAAGGAATCTAAAACATCTTGGAACATGACTTTCGGTGTTTGACTGCTGTACCCGTTTATGGAATGACATGTTTCAGGTCCCTTCTCTGATACTGAACTATTTAAAGATCATGTATTCAGTTCTTTTTCTTCTATATTGTATGTATTGAAACATAATTAAACTCATCAATGGTTTCATTCCAAGAAAATTCACATAATTACGACACAGATTAATTTCAGTCATGTTGAAACATGTTTGAACTAAAACATTTCAGATACATTTAGTCATTTGAACTACAATCAAATGACTAAATGTATCTAAAATGTTTTAGAAAAATGAATAAACCAGATGATGTGCTGTTTCCTACCCACTCTTTCAACTATGTGTTCATTTGGATTACAAGAATTTGATTGATCAAATATATGAATCAGTAACAAATTATTAAAACCATGTCTGGACAACGAGTGCATGCAAGCAAACATTACTGCAAAAAAAATTTAAACCAGAGTCAGGATTAAACAGAATTTATCTATAGTAGGTTAAATGTTTCAAATGAAGAACTGCAAAAATAACATGTTAATAAGATGTAAAATGCACAAAGATGGACTTGTCTTTATATATTTGCATAAGACAAGTATTGGAAAAAAAAAAAAAAAAAAAAAACTACTTTTAAACCTTGCCCAATGCCTTAATTTTTAGCTTTCAAGCTATCATTCTTGTATATCCTTTATTTTAATAAACAGATCTCCAATTTGTATGTTTTTCTTTGTTTGTTTTTTACTTATTTCACAGTCTAGCAATTGTTTACACCATGTCTTCAGTTTTAGAGGATTGTGCTTTTGTCTTCAGAAGTATAAAGCTGTCCTCAGCTGCATATATATTATTTTTAGGATATTCTATTACTGTGTGAATGTCATCCTATTTGAATAAGCTGTTTAAATTTAGTTTGGCAACTTTACCTGTAATACTCCCAACCAGTCTTAAGCCACCGTCCCTCTCAGCTGCAAACTATGTTTGCTTCATAGGCTTAAGACTCACTATCTAAAAAGAAAACTGTATTTCTCCACCATCTTTCTTTACTAAATGATGACAATCATGTTTGTAACATTTTACAATGAAAAGGTATCAATAGAAAACAATACACATCAAAACAGGTTTATCTTGCTGTAGTTTCATCCAAATAAAAATGTCTGTTGTATATGTTCTGTTTAGTCTCTGCAGGACCTTTATCAGACAAAGAAGCAAAACGATGTCGCTGGTATCAGAAGTTGGTTTGTTGTTTTGGGAGTCTATGTGTGATTTTGGTGATGGCCATCATTGGAGTCAGTGTCTACTGTAAGTATGTAAAGAACATTTTTAAGACTAAGACAGGAAGATATTAGAAAATTCTGTTGTTTTCTTCCATGGAGATTATGGAAAAATATGTAAAATGTAAATTAAAGTCATATGGAAATGGAAATTAGAATGTATCAAAAACTAACTAAAACTGAAAGAATTTTCTGTTGATTTTGTTATACAGTTTTGTTCTCTACATATTTTTATATCCCGTCTATGTATTTATTCAATATTATCACTATTTGTAACATGTTGACATTTTGCAGTTGTATCTCTTGACAAGAGTGATAAACCTGAGCTGCAACAACTAAAAGACAACCAAACTTTCCTGCTAGATGAAATTTACAACATGACAAACCTCAAAAACAAACTCTACTCTGATTTCAATGCCCTGACTCTCAACTTCACAAGCTGCAAAAACAAAAGTTTAGAATTTGACATCCAGGTTCAAAACCTGACACAACAACAAAACAACCTGATGGCAGAAAATAGTCAGGTTAACAAGAAAAACCACGACTTGCAGACGGAAATGAAAACCCTCACAGAAGAAATAAAAATTTGTAAGGAGCAGAAACTCAGTCAAGCTCTGCAGATCATTGATGAATACTGTCCCAAAGTAGAGCAAGGTATGTTCAGATTTACTTATGATAAAAGATTAGCCTTAATTATAATTATACTGGCTAGTTCAAATATTTATTAGCTGATCTCTGTTGTTTCAGTGAGAAATTGTCGTTCTTGTCAGAACGGCTGGATTCACTCTCAGTCCAGCTGCTATGTAGTTCATAATCCTGAAAGTTGGAATCAGAAAACCTGGGAAGAAGCACGAGAAAACTGCACTAGAAAGAGTTCAGATCTGACTGTTGTTGGTAGTGAAAAAGAAAAGGTAAAGACAGAGCTGGAAACTGTTTATATGAATTACACATATATTTTCAACACAAACTGCTGGTTATGGAAATGAAGGACATGCATAATCTTTTTTATCTCATTCTCCACAGGTGTTTGTTGATAGCAAAAGCTGGAAGGATGAGGAGGGTAACATGAAAGGATTCTGGATTGGTCTCAGAGCTGAAGGAGGGAAATGGAAATGGATGGATGGAAGTGATCTGACCAATCAGTGAGACACATTGTTTCTTAAGCTTCATGTAAAATAAATCTATCATCCCTGATCTAACTGATGTTTTTCCTTAGAACCTGGATAAAGCAGCAAGCAACTGATGGTCGATGTGTAACTTCTCTCCAGAACCGAGAATGGAAATCAGTGAGGTGTACTGAGAAGAACGGCTGGATCTGTGAGAAGAAGGCTTTATCTGTTTAAACATGAAATGTTAAGATTATTTGGAAAACCTTGAAAAAAATTACATTAAAATGTAATTCACATTTTCTTTCTGAAAGCTATAGATGTATTATTAATTATAATATGAATAAAAGCAAATGTAATATAATGTTGGCCTGTAGTTATTTTTATAGTGTAAGATCTTAAATTACAGAGTTGATGGAGCCACCTTTTTGAACTTATGTTAGTATTTTAGGTCCCTGCTTCATGTTTTCTTGTAACCTGCTCACTAAAGCTCCACCAGGCCTGATATTGTTCCTGGGCTGTAAAGAGAATAATTATTATTATGTTCACTTTCATGTAAACAGATATGATACATGAAACATTGTCTATGATCAATATGGCTTTCTCTTATACAATAAATTATTGTATAATACTCATTTTCAGTTTTTCCTGAAACTTCAGATTTTGAACCTCTAATCAAGAGTAAACAACATGATCAGTTCCCTAATTAATTCCTCCACACTCAAATCTATGATGTTATTTTTACATCAGAGGTTGAACTTAGACCTTAAGTTATATTTTTTATATTTTGCTCTTGATAAAGAAAATGCTTCCGAGTTATTCTTATTATTATTCTTTAGAATTTGGATAAAAAAAATGCTACTTAAATAGTTTTTTTATTATTATTATTTTTCTTCCCAGGGCTAGCCTACTGTCAATGTCACAATGGTTTGTTCTTATTACACATTTTAATGTAAATACTAAGTGAAATTTCAAAAACATCTACCAATCATCTTAAAATTGAAGATTATGTTTTTTAAATGTGATTTTCTTCTTTTAGGGTGGAATTCACACATTTTCAGAACTTCTAATTTTCTGTCAAAATGTCAGTTTGCATTTTTGTCAGAAAATGGATCTGTGATCTGTTACCTGGATGATATAAAGCACACAAAGACAAGAAGCATTAAATGCTAAATGATCAGAGACATTTGACCTGTCCCTGACTGCTCAGAAACTCAGACTGAAGTAATTATTTTTCAAGACAAAACTGACTCATCAAACATCACAATTCCAGGCCTGGTTGAATATTCTATACAGTTTAATTGCAGCTCTATTTAAGTCACACCTCATATTACCAGATGTTAGAAGCAGAAATTATCAACCCCTGGGATTTTAAAGAAGACTTGTATGTCTATTCAGGGTCTATTTAGAACCAATATCAAGAGCTGGATTGTAAATAACCCCAAATTAAGCTCCTTATTTGTTGTATTTATTTAGTTTTATTTTGGATAATATGTGGTTCACTTCCGGTTTTTGATTTTATGCTTTTATTTTGATGAGAGCTTCTACTGTATATATGTCATAGAACAGCAGCTTAACAACAGAAAGAACGGAAGACAAGTTGCAAAAAGTTTTTGATAGTATCCTGTTATCAGCGGCCCCTTGATAGAGGCACAAGGTATGTTTGTTTTGTAAATAAGAAAATTTATATTATTGATTAATTGAAATTGTGAATTTGTGTTATTGTAGAATAGTGGTTAAGACGTTACCCTCAACTACAATAACTCAAACTAGGATGGTTAAATCACACAGAGACAATGAGTATGAAGTACTTCTATTTATGTTGATTAAATAGGTGTGGATAGTTGAGAGCCTGCAGGCACGCCCTCCCCAGCAGAGTGATCCAATGGCTCCCTCTGGTGGAGCAGCGAAGAACTGAAAAGGAAACCAAACTAATCCCCACAACCTGGAACCCAACAAGTTCATCAAAACACATCTGGCATTTTACTTTGATTCTTTGATGCATTTTTTGAGGAGTCCTTGAACAAAGTTGGAGTCATAAAATTTTCATCAGGCCAGGCTGGGACTGTCCCTCACTCTGGTCTGGCCAAATAATGTTTGGCGCCAGAGTCATTTCGGAACACCATGTCCGTAATTTTAAGTAATTCAGAAAAGACTGATAACATTTTCTCAAATTCATTGCCATATTATTAAATGTAGGCGTATATTACATTTTTTCTCAGTTGCATTTTTCAGGACAGAACTGAAATTGTTAAAACTAATTGTTCACTCATAAAATCATTGTGTCAGTTGTGCACATCTATAGAACTCTCTTCTAATGGTCTTCACATAGTAAATTGCTTTTAAAAAGATGAATATTTGAAATTTACATGAGTAAATTTAGATTTTTTTTTTACTTTGATTCGATGTAAAATCAACACAAAATGTGTATGTAGATGATGGTGTAGAGAAATAAAATTGTGTTAATAGTTAATAATTATGTTGTTTGGCTGTTTTGCCCTGAAGTACTTTTCCCCCACACACTTTTCAATGGCCTCTCCCGGAACCTATAAATGGTGTCTGGAACCCTGGGGTAGTATTTGTCCAAACACCCTGGAGAGGACACAGAAAAGACAGGTGAGTCACTCAATATCAGCACTCCACACCTAACAGATTATGCACAAACATTTGCTCAGTTTTACCCACCAGTAGCTCATTGCTCTGAGTAACAATTATCCTCCCTCCACAGGCAACTAGCTCACTTGTCAATGAGGAGCAGCTGTGCAGAGCCCAGAACAAAAGGCTACATGCTAATTACTAAAATACTCAATAAATACAATTAAAACTTCTCGTGTGCAAATTATTTATGTGCAAATCTCTGCTTAAAGCGCAGTGCTAAATAAAGTGCTTGTTAATAAAGTGCAAAAAGTGCTTCTCAAGTGTTATACAGTGACTTAAGTAAAAACAGTCCCAGTAATAAAGCTCTCTTCATTACACAGACCAGCCCTGATATATTGTGTTCTGCAAAACGTGCAGTTCCTTTTGTGTTTATGCTTCCAGCTTACGATACTGTAGATCAGGGGTGCCCAAAGTGGGTCCTCGAGGGCCGACATCCTGCACGTTTTAGTTCTCTCCCTGGTGGTAGTAACAACCTTTTCAGCATGTCAATTGTTCTTCTTAGACCTTCTAATGAGCCGTCATTTGATCCAGGTGCATTAAACCAGGGAGATAACTAAAACATGCAAGATGCTGGCCCTCGAGGACCCACTTTGGGCACCCCTGCATTCGATCCTTCAGTCATTGCAACATGTTCCAGCACTGACACACACACACCAACCTTTCCAACTCTGGGTTTTTGTATGCGAACTGAGCCCTCAACCAAGAAGTTCCCTGTCCTTTCCTTTTCTGTACCGACCACTTGGATCATAGAGACGCAACATCTGTACATGCATGGACATGAAACTGTGTATATTTATGAGTATGTATATGCATGTAATCAGAAATTACATACATCAAGTGGTTTCTGGTTTGCAAACTGTGATCAGTTTGACTTTGTGCATGCGTGGCCAATAGACGTATTTTTTGTATTTGTGCATGTTACTGTATCTCTCACAGATCTTAAAATAAAAAAAAAAGACAAGATGGCTGTCCTGCATGAGGCACTTAAATTTTGCAAATGAGACACTTGTTGAAGTTACAGCTTGTGGTTAAGTTAATACTTGTGTAATCTGATTGCAACACTGACTGAAAACACTGACATTTTCAGGGTCTGTTTTAGTTGTGTGTTTTCTGGCAGAGTGCCTGAAGTGTGTAATAGTTCTACAAAACTTCTTAACCCATGAGGTAAAGACTGAAAAGTGTGCTGATGCTGTCAGTACTGTTTCTCAGAGTCATTCACATTTTGAAGAGTGTTGCACCAAAACTATAGAGCTCAGCGCTCCTGTTGTCTGTCTACTGAGTTCATGTTCTACTGAAATGTCCACAATTTCAAACTGTGCACCAGTTCTGTGGTTTTAAATGTGACTGTTAGCTCTTCTGCTGCAGCAGGTTTGAGTTTGTGGCTAGAATAAGTGCAAAACGCTGTTGGAGGATTTCAGTTTACTATAAGTCGGTTGTTATTGCTGCCAGTGGATTACATCTTGCATCCATGACAGTGCTGAACTAGAATTTCTTTGACAGTATGTTGACAGACACTGCCTGCTTATCATTAGAGAGGTTATCTGTGTCACTCTCAGGGTCAAACTAATACTCAAAGTCTCATAATCATTTTTACCAAGCAAATATTTCAAACAAATCCTTTTAATTTAGCATTAATAAGTGCTGTGTATAAAAATTTGGCTAAAAAATCATTTTAATTAATTTTGAAAGAAAGCTATAAGAAGGCAAAATAAGGAAAATGTGAAGTGCTGTGAATACTCCATGGATACAAATTCTTACTAGAGAACAGAGTAAAAACAACTCCATTTTCTTAACACTTAACTACCAGAAGTTCAAAGCAAAGACACATTATTCACACATAGCCATGCTACTTCCTGATCCTTAAATAAGCCTTCTGTGTTTCTACTCAGTCCATTCAGTACTCAAGTTATTGGTTGCGTATTATTTAATATCTCACGCTCTTTACTTAAACTTATTTTATTTTTGATATAAAGTCTCAACAGAAAGTGTCTCAAAGATTGTTCATCCAAGAGCAATAAAATACTTTGGTCTTGGTATATCAAAATAGAAATATCAAAGAGTAATAGTGGGGAAAAAAACAGGTACTGCTCATCTACTGACCACAACCATTCTTACAGAGAAGAATGGTGATGGCAGCACCATGCCATGAGACTAATTTTCTGATGCTTGAACTGGGCAATTAGAGGCTGAGCTGACAGCAGTTAGGTTAAATGAGAAAACCTTGATGAATGTTCTGTAGCGGCAGACTCAAAGTCAGACTTAAAGCCAACTGACCTTCTCTGGAAAAACCTTAAAATATCCGCCTACCAAAGCTGCTCATCTAACTTGACTGAGCTTGAGAGGAAAATACTCAAAGCTGTACTTGTTATCAAAACCTTTGTTGAAAACCTTTCTCATTTTGTAATTCATGGTCATAGCATGTAGAAATTTGAGGAAAATGAGGTTGTAGGTTAAAATACTTTTAGAAGTATAATCAAGAAATTAGAAAATTATAGAATATATGTCCTGCCAATCTAAAAGGTGAGCTGCTGCTCACATCTAATGCTATCAGGTATTCATAGCAGAACTTATCAACTTCCTGGTTTTTAAAGACTTTTAAAAACCATATGCACCGTATTCTTCAGGGTCCATACAGAACCCATATCATGAGTTGGATATCATCTAGTGTCCCACTTTTAGTTTAACTTGTTTGTTTCTTTATATTGTTTGAACAGGATATGATTTATTTAGGATAGAAACATTGAACTGCAGTTCAATGACAGCATTTTGGACCCTCCATCCATCCATCCATCCATCCATCCATCCATCCATCCATCCATCCATCCATCCATCCAT